ACTCCTTGTGACACCAAAGATGAACTAAGGGCAAGGATTATGCCAGCATTCTCCAACTTAAACAAGGAGAGCGCCCAGAAGAGTTGCAAGAGATTCCGAAATCATCTGGAGTCCGTGTTTGAAGCCAATAGCGATTTTATTGAATAAATTTACTCTTTATTATTTCAAGATATTTTTTCGTAATTTTTTATAAATATATCTGTTAAAATGAGATGTCAGTGTTATTTTCATTTTTGCGTCATTCACACGACAATTTGTCCATCGCACTATATATATATATATATATATATATATATATATATATATATATAAAAAGTGAAAAAGTTTTATATATACACACACACACATATATATATATGTATGTATTTATTAAAGACATTTTTTTATATTTTTAACGTTGTTTATTTTATAGATACAAGTATTTAAGCAAATGATCTGTTTGCTTAAATACTTGTATCTATAAAATAACAACGTTAAACATAAAAAAATGTCTTTAATAAATAAATTGTCGGACCTTGTCCATTTTTAACATATGTATGTATGTATGTATGTATATATATATATATATATATATATATATATATATATAGATATATAAACTTTTTCACTTTCACAGAGGCCAAACGAAGACGCAATTTTTATATTTGATGTATATATATATAATATATAAAAATGAAAAAGTTATATATATATATATAACTTTTTCACTTTTTATATATATATATATATATATATATATATATATATGTGTGTGTGTGTGTGTGTGTGTGTAAGTAAAAGGGTAAAGTTTTATATATATATATATATATATATATATATATATATATATATATATATATATAACTTTTTTCACTTTCACAGAGGCCAAACGAAGACACGATTTTTAAGTTTGTGCCAAAAACGAACAGATTCTAATATTTGGTGGTTAGATCTGGCGTTGTAGAAAATGGATGAAATTCAAACCATCTGCGTGACAGTGAGGGTAACGATCAATTAGGGAAGGCTTTTGCTGGTGTTGGGTGTGACCAGCATCCCTGTAGGGTGGCAGGAAGAGACAAGGAAAAAGGAAGTAATTTTGATTCTGGTAAATAGCCAGGTAGGTGTCGGATGCTGGGCGAGCCGACAGAATTAAGGATCTCTCAGGCCAGTGTTTACAGAAATAATAATGTCTGGCGGGTGAGGATGGAATAGCACAGAGTGGGACGCTGAGAGAATGAGAGTTAGAGAGTTAGAGAGAGAGAGAAGGATAATGAAGTGGGGGGAAATGGCGGTTTATAGGGCAGAGAGTCAGCGTGAGAGTGACGAGTTGATGAAGACAGAAAAAGCGAGATGGTTGGGGAGGAGAAACGTAAACGTAAAAAAGAAAAAAAAATGAAGTAAAAATTGAAAATAAAAGATGGCGACAAGGAAATTTTTAAAAAAATATATATAAAAAAAAAAAAACAATGTATCGAAAGCTGTTTAAGAAAGTGAGACCGAATAAAACAAAAGTAATATCAAAACCAGACACAGTTTTACCGGTGCAGAAAGTGAAATCGGCGGCCCAAGTTCAATTCCGCTAAATTCTGTTTCAGTCACTTCGCGGTAATTTCCTTAGAAAGGCATAAATCCTTTTCCCCCAAGGGTTAAATACTAGAACTGACTGGGATACCTTACTCTGAGGTGGCAACTAGTTTCAGCTTGATTGATTTTGTTTAGTGGCATATAAACCACTATGTGTTATTTAATGCCGAAATCTGAATTTTGAACACAATTTTTATGGCTTCAACTATAGTTAAAATGCATTTTTGGTCATTTTGTATTAAAATCTGTTGTTGGTAATTCTACTTTATCTACTATGAAATGTATTTGTCTATATTTCTGAGATGAGATATTATATACACTTTACATAATTCGGACTATGGTCCTAACCTTTGTTGCCATATTTTTACAACGTTTCGGTCCTTCTGTATCTGTCTATATTTCTGAGATGAGATATTATGTACACTATTTACATTATTCGGACTATTGTCCTCATCTTTGTCGTCATATTTATTACAACGTTTCGGCCTTTCAGTATCTGTCTATATTTGTGAGATGAGGTATTATGTACACTATTTACATTATTCGGACTATTGTCTTCATCTTTGTCGCCATATTTATTACAACGTTTCGGCCTTTCAGTATCTGTCTATATTTCTGAGATGAGGCATTATGTACACTATTTACATTATTCGGACTATTGTCCTCATCTTTGTCGCCATATTTATTACAACGTTTCGGCCTTTCAGTATCTGTCTATATTTCTGAGATGAGGTATTATATACAATATTTACATTATTCGGACTATTGTCCTCATCTTTGTCGTCCTATTTATTACAACGTTTCGGCCTTTCAGTATCTGTCTATATTTCTGAGATGAGGTATTATGTACACTATTTACATTATTCGGACTATTGTCCTCATCTTTGTCGCCATATTTATTACAACGTTTCGGCCGTTGTACACTCCAGCCTTCTTCAGGTGGTTGGAATGTCGAACTGACACATGGCACAGTGGATAAAGGCGTTGGTTTGATCCAGTGAAGGACCCATAGAGTGTGAGTTCAATACCCGGTTAAGGCAGTGGAGAGCTTTCAGAGGGGAATTAACAGGAGATAACTAATAACTGACATCCATTAGACATGGCACGTGGAACTAGAACAGTCTACCCTAATGAGCGAAATAAAGGGTTCAGATCGTCATTCCAACCACCCGAAGTACGTCGGCCAAAACGTTGTAATATATATGACGACAAAGATGAGGACAATCGTCCGAATAATGTAAATAGTGTATAAAATGTATTGTTGGTCATTTTGCTATAAATTGTATTGTTGGCAACTCTACTATAAAATGTATTGCTGGTAAATTTTACAACAAAAATGTATTTTTATACTTTCAGTGTTAATTTTTCGGGTGGAGAGGGTGTCACTATTTTACCCTAGCCGAGACCCTAACAGGGGCTACCACCCCAGCAGTTTAGGGAAAGGAAACCTCTGAATTCAAAAGCAGGCTTACAGTCAGATGACGTCGAAACATTGGTTCCCGTACGATCACCGAAGTTAAGCAATGTTGAGTGGGTGGCGTAATGTATAATGGCTCGGAATTGTTAATCAGAGAACAGAGTTCCAGTTCTAGATGGGGTCGTTATATGTATTTTAGCCTTGGAAAAGATATAAATTCAGCTCTTCCCCGTGTATCCATTAGTTAATTAATAAGACTTGTATCGTTAAATGTTTATAATCTAAAAAAAAATATTATAATATAAAAAAAAATATTACAATCCAAAAGTATTTTTGGTTTTAGGGCTGATAAGCCGTTGAAAACGAATTAATCAATTAAAAATCAGCTTGATGAGGGATGGGCTCCGTCAGGTTATCTTGCCCTTGACACACAAAACTTAAGGATATCCAGGATTCGTGAAATAATATAGGTATTCAGTAAGCTTAGCTCAGTAATCCAGCCAACAATAAGAGGCTGGTGTTGATTCTCACAGCATCAATAGTTAAAATACCTAACTTAATATAGGATTACTATGTTAAATTTAGTATTTTAAATACTGATGCCGTGAACTCGAATCTCACTGGTCGCTTCACTACTGGAGGATATTATAGTAATATCCCCAAAGAGTAACGATCCAGGCCTGTTGCTAGAATGTTTTGAATAGAGAGTACTGAACTTCTAAGTAATAACTGTCCTTCTTTATAGCAGTGAGTGCTGGACAATCTCCGTAAAGATGAAAAGGGGATCTGAAGCAACGTAAATGTGGCTCTACAGACAGATTCTGAGGATTCTATGTACCGAACAAGTGAGCAAGTTTGGGAGAAAATGGAAACAAAAAGGAAACCAATACTTAAAATCAGATAGAGACAGTTGAGGTTTCTAGAGAAAATAATGAGGAAGAAAGGCTTGGAAAATCTGATCCTCACAGGACAGATAGAGGTCAAGAGAGACAGAGTAAAGCAACGCATAACCTACTTAGTGAGCTTGAGTAAATGGATGGCGGAACAGACTTTAGGAGAAATAATAGTAAGACAGTTTATTAAGATCGACAAGGCACAGGAAGTCGTGGAGTGTCATGATCGCTTATGTGCTGGGGGAACGCGGCAAATATAAAAAAAACGGCCTTTAAGTCGTAGAAGGTGGTGAGTAAAAGTGTTTTTAACTTAACGCATCTATGTGAATTGTAATACTTAGTTTGTGGTAATATCGACTGGCTCAATGATTGGGGAAAAAAAGTCAAATAAAAAAATTATTTTTATTCTTTTTTTATTCTTGTTTATCCAATACAAGGCCCAAGAGCCACTCAAGGTAAATAACGGTTGACGCAATACTTGAAAAGATCCTGTTCCGCAAAGTAGAGCTTTTTGGGAAATAAGCTATCCAAAAGGAACTTCCTCTTTACCAATGGAATATAAAGGGAATATATGTGGCATAGCATATGGGTTATTTATAATACGATATTTTTTCAGGATCAATATGTATGATGGAAAGGGAAATAGTATCAACCGCGTTATGATGTAAGAATAAAAATACTCAGCTCCCATCAATTTCAAACGGATAGGACAAATGATTATCCGTGGGCGGGGTTGACGAGCTCGTTAACCATTACACCGCAATGAGGCGCCAGTATTTTTATTTGCTGTGCTTAACGTTTCCAGTACAAGGCTTCAGAAAGACGAACGCCCTAATGACCTGCTGAACCATATCTCTAAACATTCTTACCGTTAATCACGCTACAATCAGTGATTATTTTTACGGCTTATCAACCCTTTGCAGGTTATTTAATGTCAGAAAATATTTTTAGGTTGTAAGAATGTTTCGAAGATAATAATGATTTTGCTGATAGAAAGTTCAACTAATTAACCCATAGCTAGGGGAGAAGAATACTTGTGCGCAATTGAATAAAATGAATCCGACTGAAATTGGAACACGACTTTCTGAGTTTCAATTACGAGTCGTTACGGAAATCGCACATCCAAGCTTACAGCACGTGGTACTCCCAAGCAGTTACTCATCTAGGTAATGACCAGGCTCAGTGTTGCTTAACTTCACTGTTCGTATGAGAACCATTGTTTCAACGAGATATGGTCGTAAGCCGACAGAATGAGTGAGCGGAAAAAGAATGTCTAATTGCGTATACAAATAACTACCTTACCAGCTGGTCATTAATAACTGTAAATGGCTATATCAGCCATATCCTCTTTTGCAATTCGAACTTTATCTCAAAACAATTTTACTTTAGTCTTTCTTAAAATGCCAATTTAATAGTTAGCAATATGTCACTCCACTCACTCCGTTTTTTTTCTTTTTCTCTCTTTTTTAATTCTCTTTATCTATCTATCTATCTATCTATCTATCTATCTATCTATCTAACTATCTGGCTCATTCTTCTCAGATTTATCGTTCTGTTCATATCTATCCATCTGTTCTGTTCATATCTATCTATCTATCTATCTATCTATCTATCTTTTCTTTTCTTTTCATCTATAGATATTATTTTTATCTATCTATCTATCTATCTATCTATCTATCTATCTGTCTATCTATCTATCTATTTATCTATCTATCTATCTATCTGGCTCATTCTTCTCAGATTTATCGTTCTGTTCATATTTATCCATCTGTTCTGTTCATATCTATCTATCTATCTATCTATCTTTTCTCTTCATATATAGATATGAAAAGAAAATCTATCTTTTCTTTTCATATATAGATATTATTTTTTCTCTTTCTATCTCTCTATCTATCTATCTATCTATCTATCTTTTCTTTTCATATATAGATATATATGAAAAGAAAATCTTTTTCTCTATCAATATATCTATTTGTCAGTCTATTAATATATGTATCTCGTTATCTATCTATCTATCTCGTCCTGTATTTATCTATCTATTTCTGTCCGTTTCTCACAGACGTTTTCACTTTGTTCCATTTTAAATTGTCTTGATCAGAGACAGTCATGTTTTCATATATTAATAAATCGATGACTTCACACTATTTTCCCTTTTATCTACCTCATGAATAATTCTCCTCCCTTTCTCTTTTAACTCCCTTCTATTTCTTTCTCCTCAAATTTTCTCTTTTTATCTCCCACCATACCTTCTTTTCTTACACTCCTCTCTCTTTCTATTCTTGCCCAATCCCAACCTTTTCTTCTTGATTTCTCTCTAATTTTAACTGGTTCTCTCTCACCCCCTCTCTCGCTTTCTCTCTCTCTCTCTCTCTCTCTCTCACTCTCTCTCTTATTTTATTTTCTCCGTTTCCTATTCTCATATGCTATCCACTCTCACTGATTTCTCTCTATTTTTATATTTCTTCCTCTTCCCTCTTCCTCTCTCTGTCACTGTCTGTCTATCTGTCTCACTCACTCACTCACTCACTCACTCACTCACTCACTCACTCTACCTCTCGCTTTTTTTTTCTCTATTTATGATTACTTCCGCTCTCTATTCTCGTTTCTTTTACTTCTCTCTCTAGTTTCTTGGTCTTTTTTTGATTCCTCTTCTCTCTTTCTCTCTCTGGCACTATCTGTCTATCTCTCACTCATTCATTTTCTATCTCTTCTTTCCTTACCCTTTCATTCTTTTTTTTATTTCGTTCTCTTTTTTCTTTTACATTTTTTTTTATACATTTTTATTTCACCATCTTCGCTTTTTCCCCCCTCTCTCTCTCTCTCTCTAACCCTTTTCTCTTTTTAATCTAGTCTTTTTTTTCTATTTTTCTCTTTCTATTTTTTCTGTCTATTTTTACTTTTTTTAGTTTCTTTCTTTCTGTTTCTTCTTTTATTTTACACTCTCTCTGTCACTATCTGTCTATCTCTTACTCTTTCATTTTCTCTCTCTTATTTCATTACCTTCTCGTTTTAACTCTCTTCCGCTCTCAAATTCCCTTGGATTGACTCATATTCTTTTTTTTAACTTCATTCTCTTCTCTCTTCATCCATTTTTATTTCACTAGCTTCCCTCTCTCTTTTTTTTCTTTACGTTCCCATCTTTTATCCGTCTGTCTGTTTTTCTCTCTTTCCTATTTCATAACTACTTCGTTTAGCCATAGCCTTCTCCTCCTGGCTTTTCTCTCTTTTTATTTACTTGTTTTAGTTTCTTTCTCTCTCTATTTCTTCTGTTATTTCTCCCCTTTTCTCTTTCCATCACCGTCTGTTCCCGCCCTCAATCGCTTCTTCTTAACCCACTCAAACAACTCTCTGTTTTATTATTATTATTATTTTGTGTTTCTCCCCAGATGTTTTGCTGGCTTCATTAAGGAGTTTCTCGTCCTAACCGAAGTGGCTATCACTTCCTGCTGCTAATGGCAAACAATTCTTCAGCGCTAATGCGATGTTTGTGATCATGAATCCGAATGAAATCGAGGTTTGTTGCTCTACTATCGTCTTAACCACATGCAGCGGCAGGAGGCGAAACCCTTGGACAGTGCCACGACAAGAATGTGTGCCAAAGTTTTAAGAAGAAAAAGAAGACAATTTGAAAAGCGAAAAACATTGTTTTCAGAAATATGTCAGGTTAGATATCCACTTGTGACTGATTATGATCGGTCAGGAAACCTTAGGGGATCCCTGTGTGGTGTGAAAACACCTCATTAAATGCATTTTGTTTGTTCGTGAAAATCCCTCCCGTGTCCCGTTGACATCTTGTGAGTCGATGTAGATTTAGCGCTTTTCCAGAACAAATAATTGTTGGCAAACTTGGACACTACTGTGCACTTGCCTTCTCGAGAGAGGGACAAAATTTTATCGCAACCGACAAGAACAATGGTCCTTAAAATCGTTTATAAATATCTATGGAAGAAAATAAGCTTGGGAAAGTTCTTCGCATTCCTGTCATCCTGGGTAAGACGTTAAACTACATCCGCGTCCTGAGTAAGACGATAAACTACGTCCAGCAGCAAGGCCTATGATCAGGATGTTTTCAGGAGCGTGGAACCACCTCTTAATTGCTAGTGTTCCCAGGTCCACCCTGACTCGGGGTGGTAGTACCTGTTAGTATCCCAGTTATGGGCAAATAGTTAACTATAACCAGCAATACTTTTTGAAAAAAAAAATTATTACCAGCAATACAATTTTGAAGAAAATATATATCTGGAAACAGATTTTTGACAAAACAAAATATTACCAGCAATAAGAAAATGTTGCCGATATTGAATAACCCATTGAGGTTGATATGCCGTTAAACAAAATAAACGAAACCAATCTAAAACAAAGAATACATATTCTATTCATACGAATCTATCCTAAAAATGTTGTCGGCATTAAATAACCCATTGAGGTTGATATGCCGTTAAACAAAATAAACGAAACCAATCTAAAACAAAGAATACATATTCTATTCATACGAATCTATCCTAAAAATGTTGTCGGCATTAAATAACCCATTGAGGTTGATATGCCGTTAAACAAAATAAACCAAACCGCATTCCTGACTAGGCTTTAAGTAATGGTTAGATTTGTCGCAGTGCTTAAGGTGCTTGTCATATAAAGTTCTTGAGAATGTCTTCTTCTTCTTCTTCTTCTTCTTCTTCTTCTTCTTCTTCTTCTTCTATATGTCGTGTTCCTTCAGGACCTATGCAATTATGGTTCTCCACAAGTTCCTGTTCTTTGCAGCTCAATAAATTTTATCTTTGTGTTACCTCTACGAAATCTCGTGGCGCCATCCATTTACTAAAGCTCGCTTTGTAGGTTACACCTTGTTTTCCTCTGTCCCTCTAAACTTCATTCTGTCCTGTGAGTATCAAATTTGCCAAGCCCCCTTTCCATATTATGTGCCCTAAAAATTCCAACTGTCTCTCCCTGATGTTAAGTATAAGTGACCTTCTTTTTCCATTTTCAGTAAAACTTCGTCGTTGCTAAACATGTTCGTTCCATGGTATTCTCAGCATCCTTCTGTAGAAATACATTTCTTTTACTACAAATTTCTTCTTCAACTGTGGAGAGATTGTACAGTATTCACAGTCATATAGGAGTATTGATATTACATAATGTTATATACCGTACCTATGAACACTAATGGATATGTTCCAATCCTCATAAATACGTTGAAAACTATTGTAAGTTAAGGGTAATATGCTGTCTAAGTAGTTCACCACTAGCAGTGGTTTACCTAATTCACGCCGCTGGCGAGTATTGTATTTTGCTGATGTTATAAACATTACCATTTTATTTCCAATTTCTGTTTTGATTGTTCTTCATTGAGTTAACTCTTCCGAGGTTACATCAAATAACAACTCTTTTTTTTTCTAACGAATTTTTTTCTGTTTCTTAACACTTGCTTAGATTTTGGAAGACATCTTCTGCTATGCTATTTTTCGATCAAGAAACTAAAAAACTAGATGATTGCTGTATTGTCCAAGCACTACGTATTTTTCTTTTATCATGTCACCAATGTATTTTCCTGGATTTTTATGTCCTTACATAACACTCCATCTGAAGTGCTTATTCCAACATATTACGTAGATACAAAACCGTTCAATATTTTTGACAAAATTTGTGAATATATATTCAATAATTAAAATATTTTCTCTGACTGTCTATCACCTATGGCAGTGGCTCCCAAACTTTTTTTTTTGGTTGGGGAGTCGCATTTTCGGAATTAAAATTTGCTCGCGTCTCACCGAATTTTATATGATAAAAAGTAGATTTAAAAATAAAAACAGAAAAAGAATTCAAGGGAGATAACCGCGGATTCGAATCAAAACATTATCATTGATAACTCTCCCTTCCAATTTGCGAACACTAATCAATATATTCTTAATACTTGATATAATGCAAAATTCTCACAATGATAAAATCGGTCAATAATTGTTTATGTCTATACAGGGACTCATTCATGCAATTACAAGTAATCCATAATTATATTTTAAATTTTTAAATGACATTTACTTTTGGCATGGGAATTTTTAAAAAACTGTTTCGAAATCAGATCTGACTGCTGAAAAACTTCCCTCTCCAAAAGGCAGTACCTGCTCCTATTTATAACTGGGAGAGTCCATGTGTGCGTGGGTAAATTACTATAACATAAACGCTATTCATTTATTATATTGGATTTGTCCGCAAAACACCAGCTAATTTCCAATTGATTCGAACTTTATAAAATGGTAAAAGGGATATACTTATAGTTGGTCCACATTTTTTAATAATTTAGTAAATGTTTATAAATTTATGAATAACAAATTGTTTTCATATTTATTTATAAATTGGTAAATGATAAAAATTGCATTATATTAGTTTTAATTGTATTAGTTGTAAATATAAAATTTTATTAGAATGTTGCAAATATAAAATCATTCTTGTAAATAAACAATCTAATCAATAGTTTGTAATATTTGTGTTGTAAATTCTCAACGAGAACAAAAAATATGTATAAATTCACTTACATCATATGTTTAGGTTTTATTACAATTCTAGTATTGCTTTTTAAAACAATAAAAATTACCGAGGAGTGAAGGTAGTTAAAATAATAGCGGAGTCAACGGAAAAAACATCCTTTTGATACTTTGTTTTTTGGGGGTTTTTTGTGGACACGGAGGTCAAAGTTTGCCGAAATTTCTCTGTTTGGGATCCTGTTAAAGAGTCTGTTTATCCCTGTCAGTGAGTAGTTTTCTAATAGTTTTCTAAATGTCCCCTTTTCTTTTCTATGTCAAACAAGAATAGAAAGGAGAATTGTATAGGAAAATACCGTTAAAATACCCTGGCTAGAAGATTAAAGGCTTTATTTTTTTAATCATTTCCCCCCGAATCTAGGCAATAAAGCCACTAAGACACAAGGGTGTGAAAAAATCTGAGATACTAAAAGAACAGGATTCAAAAAGACTGAAGATGATGACTTACGCTGCATTTAACTATTTAAAAAGATCGTAGTTGACAGGAACGCAAGAAGCCGGGATAGAATTCGACAAGCAAGAAATTCGAGAGAAGACACGATTATAATAAAACATACGCTCACACTTAGCAATTTCAATAGTAAAATCATGAGACCTAACTGGCAATCTAGTAACGCACTTAAATTCATCTCGATGTAACAAAGAGGAAAGTAATATTTATTTTGAAAAATACAAAAAATACTTTTTTACTTACCATTCTTACTATAGTCACTATAATACCTCAAGTCTCTATGACAGTCCTACCTAGTTACCATATGTACAATTTGTCTGTCGGGGACGGGGAATAACAAAATAACATTTAAAAATGAAACCCCAATGAAAGAGGAAAGAAATATTTATTTTGCGAGATACAAAAATATGGCACAAAGCCAAATATGGGGATAGGGGAGGCTGGTTTTCAGTCTGTCTTATCTTAAACTTAACTAGCAAGAATTACTGATCCAAACATACCACAGTATTCCTTACACCAAAACAACACATTCTTATGACAGTCACCATAATACCTCTAGTCTCTATGTAGTCCTAACTAGTTTCTATATGTACAATTTTTCTGTGGGGTATGGAGAATAAAAAATAACATTTAAAAATGAAACCTCGATGAAAGAGGAAAGGTCATCGGAACAATTACCATGAAAATATTTATAGAAAAACTACGTTACGCCAATGGAAAAATAACTGAAGCCAAAACGTATGAGCATCGTAGATTCTTCTCTAGATTTGGACATGAAACTCTAAACTTTTCAGGTGAGTTTGCAACTTTACATTACCCCGCGTGTTAGATTACTAATTGCCGGATAAGATAAAGATACACACAAAATATAGGCAGTTTAATTCATAAAAAAATTAATTACTTATTATGCATTATTATAATATATTTTATTAGATTTTATAGATTTATATATTATGAACACATTGAGCGCTTTCCAATAAGTACCGAGCATATATAATATATAAATAATATGTATAAAATCTGCTTATATATATATATATATATGTGTGTGTGTGTGTGTGTGTGTGTGAAAAATATATAGAAAATAGGAAAGAACTCGTTAGGTAAATAATCCAAAGTTCTTTAGTATTTTTGTTATTATTTTTAACAAACAGTGCTCGATACAAAAGTAGAGCCTAAATATAATTATTTATTTAAAAATATAATTCGACACGCTACATAAGAGTTCTCATGTTTCAAAACAAGAGCCGAAAACTTCAATATAATTATTTGAAAAACTGAATTAAAGTACTGAGCTTTGTTCCATCTTCAAGCGAAATTTTTTTGGGGAATAACTTATTTCAAATTATTTTTATTATGCTTATAAAACACGTAAATTTCAGAAATAAGTTATTCCCCAAAAAATTTCGCTTGAAGATGGAACAGAGCTTACTTTAATTCAAATAATTATATTGAAGTTTTCGGGTCTTGTTTTGAAACATGAGAACTCTTATATAGCGTGTTTGAATCATATTTTTAAATAAATAATTATATATATATATATATATGTGTGTGTGTGTGTGTGTGTGTGCATTTGGGGTATTTTTAGTAAGCCGTATAATGTGGGTGTAAGGGGTATTCTATTAGTCTAGTCCAGGATTTGTTTTAATTTTTAACAGTTTCTTGACTGATTTGTTGAACTTTGTGACTATAATGTTTTTTCGTTGTTTTTTTTTTTTTTAATGTAAGTGTTGTCGTCATTTCAGAGAGATTCTAATTTTTCAATATAGTCGCTGGTATCCAATATTAACGGATGGGGTTATGACTACTTTTTTATTCATATATATATATATATATATATATATATATATATATATATATATGCTAATAGGTATCTCATTGGTAGTGTAGTGTCTTCAAGAATTGTAGCGATCGAATTTGTAAGGGTGGCTTCTATGTTAATTTGTATGAAACCCTTTTCAAATTCCGTGGGATCGAATCTATTTTTTCCGGAATATTTTTAATTTGCTCATGGAGTTGACATGATTCGAAAACAGTATCATATGCTGGGCTACGGCCTTTGGGAATAAAGTTGAAAATGTGTGACAAATCCGACGTTCGCATTTATTTGCTACTGAAAAACGAATAAATGAATTATCAACTTTCTTCACTGTATGATGTGACGTCACAACACGGCGGCTACATGACCCACGTGACTATCTCGACCAAAGGAAAATAATCCCCCTTTTGTATACTTACATACAATAATATATTAATGTCTATATACTTTTGGTGGGTGCTGTTGCCAATTGTGACGCGAAGAGGTTGCAGATTTTCAAAATTATTGAATTCAACACGTGCAGGATATGTCCTATATATTCATGCATAACACAAATGGACTCAAAAGAGGAGACAGAACACTTTTGTCTATCCAAACAGACATGACTCAGGAAAGAAAAAGAAAGAAAGACATTTTAGGCATTGGTAGCTGGCAGTATGTGTAAGTAGAGCATGTGGTTGGGTAAAATCAAGAGGTCGGCTTGCCCAGTGAATGTCGCCATGGGTTGACAGATAAAGAAAGAAAGAAAGAAAGAAAGAAAGAAAGAAATTAGAGGAGGGAGAAAGAGAGAGTTTATGCCCTTTTATTTTATACCGTAGGTGGACACATATCCGTGTTAACCGAAGCACATTGACTGGTAATAATAATATATAATAATTTATAGAATAAAAACAATAATAACAACAATATCAATAATAATAATAATAGTAACAAAGGAAGCCAACAAGTTCAAAATAGAGTTTCAAAAGGGTGAAGAAATTCAAGTAAAGTATAACACAACAACTGCAGAAAAGAAAGTCTCGTGCAAATGAAAATCCAGATCAAACGGCAGACAGAAGAGCTTCCAATGCTGAGAATATGAAATGACTTATGGACTCTCAAACTCCTCAACTAGCTGAAAGTCCTAATTATGAGCCCCCACCCCCAGGAGCTATCTTAATTAACGCCCGATATAGCAGATTTTTAAGCTACTAGTGATTTAAACGTCCCACTGAGTTTTAAATGGGTGAAGATATTCAAGTAAAGCCTAATACACCGACTGCAGCTGCAAAATACAAAAATAAAAATAAAAAAAGCAAAGGCAAATGCAACCGTCCAGATGAAGAAACAATGGCAAGATAAACAGCTTCACTGTCAATACTCTACCCGTACCAAACAAGCTGATGTAGACAAACCCCATTACCCATCAGTGGCTATGTAGTGCAGGGTTAAAAGCTGAAACTGAAGGTTTTATTCTTGCTGTACACGACCAATGCTTGTTAACTAGAAATTACCAAGCACACATACTGAAAACTTGTGTTAGACCAAAATTCAGATTCTGTGATAAATATCCATAAACAATTGACCATCTTGTATTCGGTTGCGTGGCACTGGCACCCATTGAATATAAAACTCGGCATGAGAGAGTGCACTGGAAAATCTACAACTTTTACGGAAAGGAAACTGCCAGGAATTGGTATGAACACGTAGATAGACCCTTAACAATTTTATGGGATTTTACAATACACACATGCAGACCAATCAAATCGCCTTGACATCGTGATATATAAATATAGCGTTAATTTCAAATACTCTTTTTGAAACCGAAAATTCTTGTTTTCCTGTGGGTTGCTGATAAAGAGAAATTCAAGGCAAGCAGGCTTTGTGGTAGACTGCTCAATATCGAAGATAGGGGTAGAGCGTTAAAAGAATTAATATGGAAAAGTTTTTGACACTTATATTTCGTAGCTATATATGCCTAGCCACTCGTCGGAATAATGTTAATCTGCAGTTATTTCTCGATTCTCTTGTGCTTTTATTGGTATGAGTGTGTTAAATACTTTCTTTTCTCTCGGTGTTGATTGTATCCCCGAAGCAGAGCCTCCTTACCAAGCATCTCGAATTCAGTCATTTTCCCAAAATGTAGCTTCCCTCTGTCTTTTCTGTAAATACTTCCATGTTAAATGTTCTAATTAACTCTCCTCCTTGGTGCATAGACTATGCATTTAAACGCAGTACTAGATTGGCGGCAAGGTCTCATCATTTTACAGTCGAAATGGCTAGGTGTAATAGTTTCTTTTCTCGGACTTCATGTTTGTGGAAACCTTTTCTGACATATTTCTTTCCAATCGCTTTTGTTCTTCACAAGTTTTTCTCATCTGTTCATCCTTCAAATCTATAAATCAACCATCCGTCCTTGCACGGAATATTGCTGTCATATACAGTCTGGTATCCCCTTGAAATCCTCGACAAAATTCAGAGATGAGTATCCAGTGTGAAAGGTCCTGATCTGGCATCTCGTCTACAGTTGCTTTCTCACAGACGTGCCATGGCTTCCCTCTGTCTCTTCTACAAGTATTTTCACAGCAACTGTTACGACAAGCTACTTCTGCTGATTCCTAGACTGCATGAATTTAAATGAGCTACTAAGCTGGCATCTCGGTCCCAACCTTTCACTGTCGAAACTTCTTTAATGTAAAGGTCTTTCCACTGAAACAGCTTCTTCTCTCGCACTTCGCGTCTGTGGAACTCCTTTCCTCTTGCTTGCTTCCCTGATAATAATCTTCAAATATAATCTTCAAATATTCAAGTGTAATGTCAACCGACATCTTGATAACTTGATCTTGTTCCTCGTCCTTCTCTATATCCTTTCTTCGAACACGATTCTTTACTCTTGTTTTAAATCCTCGGTAACCCCTTGCTTGTTAGTGACACTCCTTGCTTGGGGTGAATTGCTTAAAAAAAAATTAAATGCAATGTCAGTTGTTATCGCCTGTCCTCTTAAATTCTGTTCTTTTATTGTTCTTTCCCCTTAATAATGTTTTCCTTATATACTTTCACTCTCAATACACGACCCCTGCGTGTTAGTGGCTTTGTTGCCTTACTTGGGGTGATTTTTTTTTAGAGCAGCTGACAATGACTGGTTTAAATGCCCTGAAGAAGACACAGGAGAAATGATTATCCAGTGTTTCTTAAAAAGATTAAGGAAGTTAGCATCCAGTTTAACCCTTTGATCCCTGAACACCGCTTTACTGGTGATCGAAAAAAATGACGTAATGCCCAGCCACCCGTTGAACGGTGAGTAAAAATTTGTAACTATTTTTATATCTTCATTATTTACATTATTCGGACTATTGTCCTCATCTTTGTCGCCATATTTATCACAACGTTTCGGCCGTTGTACGCTCCGGCCTTCTTCAGGTGGTTAGAATTTCGAAATTCCAAGAAGGCCGGAGCGTACAACAACCGAAACGTTGTGATAAATATGGCGACAAAGATGAGGACAATAGTCCGAATAATGTAAATAATGTACATAATAGCTCATCTCGGAAATATAGACAGATTTTTATATCTGTCGCGAAACATTAGATACCATTTATTTGCGAATTTTAACTCAGGAGCTCAGACAGAAGGATTAAAATTGTTCAGGAACGCATAGCTAAAAGGGTTAAAATATGATATGACAAAAACTTGACTTAGACATGGAAGACATTTTCTTTTTTTAAAATATTTTTTTTTAATATAAAAATTGCTTTTGTGCTAACTTGAGGCTGAGTTGGGTACCTTTCTGGGCTTATTAATGTGTCCGCGCGTACCGACTGAAAATTCAAAAATCATTTAATAATCGACTCGTGAGGGTAAAAGATTTATAGTAGATATAAACCTAACTTTAAATTTTTCTATATAGCTGGGAAAATGCTAATTCTAGAGTACGTTCCCCATTTTTTATCGACTAGCAAATAATGCACTATAAGTTCTATAAATTGGAGGTGACTTGGCATCGAACTTAATGGCCGTCTTTGTCGGCCTTTTTGCAAATAATAACATAAAAGTACGAATAAAAACAACACAGACAATCTTATCTAAATTCAAAAAACAAAAAAAAGAAAAAAGAAAAATATGAGAGGGAAAATTGATAAAAGGGATTTTTTAAGTAAGAAACTTTCCAAACACGATTTGTTATCAGGACGTTATTTTTAGGGTCATTCACTCATAAAATAGATTTGGGGAAAACCTATGGCAAGCATGGGACGCGAAAAGGCAATCAACCGAATTCATGATTATGTTGGCAAAAGAATCAGATTCTAAAAGGGTCGAAGAGTGAGATGGGGTAACGAGGTAGAGTTGATTGAAGGCGAAACAAGAAAAATAAAAATGGAATGCTGAAAGAAAGAAAGAAAGAAAGAAAGAAAGAAAGAAAGAAAGAAAGAGAGGCTAAGTCAATGAGTAAAATATTAAAGAAAGAGAAAAGAAATAGAATGTAGAGAAAAGAAATTAATAAATGAATTATTAAAGGGAGAAAGAAAAAGAAAGAAAGAAAAAGAAAGGCTAAATTAATAAATGAAATATTACTGAAAGAAAGAAAGAAAGAAAGAAAGAAAGAAAGAAAGAAAGAAAGAAAGAAAAGAGAAATATTAAAGAAAGAGACTAAATGGAATATGAAAGAAAGAAAGAAAGAAAGAAAGAAAAAGATAGAAAGAAAGAGTATGGCTGAATAAATAAGTGAAATATTAAAGAAAGAAAAAGAAAGAAAAAATGCTAAATTGATAAATGAAATATTAAAGAAAAAAAGAAAGAAAGAAAGAAAAAGAGACTAATTGGAATATTAAAGGAAGAAAGATTTACAAAATGAACATAAAACTCGAACGAAAAAGAAAGAAAAGAAAGGCTTAGTAAATAAGTGAAATATTAACGAAAGAAAAAAGAAAGAAAGAAAGAAAGTAAAAGAAAGGTTGAATTAATAAATAAAATATTAAATTAAGGAAGAAAAGAGAATTAAAAAAAATAAAAAGTCTAAATTAAATATTAAAATAAGAAAGAAAGATTAAAATAATAAGGGAAATATTAAAGAAAGACAGAAAGAAAGAATAAAAAAGAGAGAACATAAAATGTGAACAAAGAAGAAGTAAAAAGAAAGAAAACTTGAATAAATGAGATAAAAAAATTAAAAAAGAGAATGAAATCAAATGAGGTATCGAAGGAAAAATATTGAAGTAGAAGAAAATAAACGAAAGAAAGAAAGAAAGAAAGAAAGAAAGAAAGAAAGAAGGTCAAGGGGAAGAAAAGATAGAAATAAATCCGAAAAAGAAAAAAGAAAAAAAAACGAAAACAGAATTCCCTTGAAAATTTGGTTCCTGAAACAAGAGAATCGGTGAAAGAATGCTTAAATGGTGTTCAGCTTAGAACCAACAGAATAATATTTATCCAGGCCTCGTCTTATCGAGTTAAATCACAACTCAATCCTTATTCCTGCTTATCATATTAAATTCTTTCTAGTTTTTCCGTCGTCAGAAACCGCCATTTGCAATCCAAAAAAGACCCATTTCTCCGGCACCACCACGAAAAAAAAAAAAAAAAAGAACAATTGAAAAGAAAACGAAAAAACGCTTCATTAGATTTTTGTTTTAAGGAATTAAAGAAGATGGAAGGTGTCCCGACCCTGCGGTATTGTCGGGGTGGTGTCGGGTGATAGGTGATGGGTGAAATGACAAAGTAAGGTGATCCCTTTTACACACTTTTGAACCAAAACTGAGTCTTTTTTTTTGTTTGTTTTTTTTTTTTTTAGACTTAACTTTCTTTTTTTACCCAATCTGTCTGGTTCGGAAGGTTTACACAGCTGTGGGGAGACGAACAAGGGAAAGAGATTTTGACCACTGACAGAATAATGGTGGCTGATTTGGAATCGGTGCAAGGTGAATGGTTCGGGAAGGGATCGTTTCTTATAGCCAAGAAAAATAAAGAGTATGTATACTTGTGTATATATTTAATATATTTTGTTGTTATGTGTTATTTATATATAGACAAATATTTAAATAAATGCTCTGTTTATAATAAACAGTATTAAACAACATTTATCGGTCTGAATGTCCGTGAAATTTCATAAAAAATATTTATCCTCCGACAAGTATCGAACCAGTTTCCTATACGGAACAGTCATTTAGCCTGACGTGCCTTAACCGCTTCGGCCACAGAGGAGCGTCAGGTTAGCAAGGTCGAGTCTACTGTCTTTAAACTTCAATCTTCCATTATTTTCTCACGTACATTCATATCTGCTCATGGCGTACCTAAAATGTAAACAAATGACGTCACACATTATGAAATGGACAAGTCCGACAATTATTTTAAAACATTTTTATGTTTATACATTCTTTTTATAGATACAAATATTTAAGTAAATGCTCTGTTTATAATAAACAGTATTAACAACATTTACCGGCCTGAATGTCCGTGAAATTTCATAGAAAATATTCATCCTCCGACAGGATTCAAACCTGTATCCTAAACGGAACCGTCATATAAATAACTTATAACAATAAAATATATTAAATACCTGTCCGTCTTAGTCCATTTCGTAGTGTGTGATATGTATATATGCAATTATTCGCCTACGTCTATAAAAATACTTTTGAATCGTGCTTGTACATCTCCATCATTATATTGTGCTTCCGGTCACATGACGTTGAAACATCGATCCCCTTATGATCACCGAAGTTAAGCAACGTCGAGCGTGGTCAGTACCTATATGGATGAGCGACTGGGATACTATAAGCTTGAATGCGTGGGTGATGAAATGGATAATGGCTCGCAATTATTAATCGGAGAGCCGAGATAGATAGATAGATAGATAGATAGATAGATAGATAGACAAATGTATAATGAACGCATAGATAGATATCAACGCAGAGATAGATAGATAGATAGATAGATAGATAGATAGATAGATAGATAGATATGAACGCATAGATAGATAGATAGATAGATAGATAGATAGATAGATAGATAGACGAATGTATAATGAACGCAGAGATAGATAGATAGATAGATAGATAGATATCAACGCAGAGATAGATAGATAGATAGATATGAACGCATAGATAGATAGATAGATAGATAAAGTGAATGTAAATACTTTCAAATGAACTGAAAACCCAGTCATCAGCAGGAAACAAGGGATAAACCTCTCTTCCTGTTCAAAAGACCGGGTAGGTGTTTGAACTGATTTTAAAGTTTTTTAAACCGAATTAAAACTACACTTCCATGCTGAAGGGGTTTCTAAAAAAATACTTTTTTGAAAGGCAACGTTTGTGTGCAACAGTTTCAGAAATGGGATTACAAGTTGAAATTATGGGGCAAACAAAAGCTCAGAAATCGAAAAAAGTTCCCCCTATGTTTGCTATGCTCGTCTCAGCCTTCAACAAAACCTTCATTAATTGGATACCCAGCAGAGAATCAAACACAGAACATAAGCGGTATGGGCTTTCTAACTATTTACTTGTGGGCGTTGTAATATATAGGGCAGATTACTGTACAAAAAAACAAAAACAAAGACAAATATGGAACAAAACGAATATAGTAAAACAACGGTATATAAAGCATTGATTATGAGAGAATATTAAGATTATGTTTTGGACAGAAAACCACTCACCAACCCCTTTGCTCTTATAATTCTGTCACTAGTGTCAAAAGGCAACAACTTGATGAGCCCTCCATTATCGTTTTAATAGCGCGAACATCCGTAACTTTCACGATTTGGATAGTGTCATCCAATTACGACACCATCTGTTATATATATATATATATATATATATATATATATATATATATATATATATATATATATATACAGTGTTTATCTTTGCCAATTCAATACATTAAAAAAAAAAATGCTAAATCTTTAAAATTGAACAAAGACTCTTTCATGCCAGATTCGGTTCTGATCCGATCATCATATCATCTTCATCTTCGGTCGCAATATTATGATTCCCCGTCTTTTATCTGCTGTGTCCCTTCAAGATGTCGGCAATCATCTTCCTGCCTCTTGTAGCCTTTAATAAATTTTGACTTTTTGTTATATTTCTCCAATCCACTTCTACCGTACATTCACTGAATCCCATTAAGTATGTTTCCAGCTGATTTCCTCTGTCCTTCTTTCCCTCAATATGTCCTTATGTGTGTCAGGTTTTAAAAGCCCTCTTTCCTTATTATGTGCCGCAGAAATTTCAACTGCCTCTTCCTGATTTTAAATATAAGTTTCCTTTTTGTTTCCGTTCTCTCGAAAACCTCGTCGTTGCTCACATGTTCGGTCCATGGTATCCTCAGCATCCTTCTGTAGAAAATTTAACTGTCTCTTCCTGATGTTAAGTATAAGTTTCCTTTTTGTTTCCATTCTCTCCAAAACCTCGTCGTTGCTCACTTGTTCGATTCCATGGTATCCTCAGCATCCTTCTGTAGAAACTTCAACTGTCTCTTCCTGATGTTAAGTAAAAGTTTCCTTTTTGTTTCCATTCTCTCCAAAACCTCGTTGTTGCTCACATCTTCGGTCCATGATTTCCTCAACATCTTTCTGTAGAACCATATTTCTGTTGCTTCAAGTCTCTTCATCTTTGAGGAGATTGTCCAGCATTCGCTGCCATACAGGAGGACAGATATCGCGTAACAGTTCAACATTATTTTCTGTTTTTCTAACGAATACACCGCTTAACTTTCGGAATTCATCTTTGGTCATCGCAATACGTCTTCGAATCACAATGTCGCACTTTCCGTCCTCTGTTAGGACACTTCCCAGCTGAAATACCCATCTACGCCGATTGTGAGGTGAAGATCTGGATAACAGTTGCTTAAAATGAAAATAAAAATAATTCTGGATTCCTGAAAAGTAGTCTCAGAAAGGTGACATACTGGGACAATCCTGAGGGAATTAGAAATCCGACCTGGATTAATTACTGGCAGATACAATCTTAACAGCATAAGCTCTACATATGGCACGGTGTTGATAGCAAAAACAGATGGGAAACTACAAGAACTGTTGGAAAGGTAGTAATGGAAAGCAAGAAGAAAGGACTAATTATCACAGAATGTATGGTTGTCAGCAAAAAGAAAAGCCCAAAATAAAATTACGTATTGGTGACACCGAAATCCAGCAAGAACAAAAATTTGAATATCTAGGAAATGTTTTATCAGGGAACAGAAATGGCAACACCGAAATTTCGATGATGCAGAGTGCCTTCCCAAAGCTAAGCAAAGTAACAGGATCATTTCGTTATAATTATATTTTACACTATTAACATATGGACCATTATCCTCATTTTTGTTGTTTTTATCGAAATCTTTCGGCCATCTTCAGATGTATATTGATTTCGGTAACCTACAGGGGTTTCTGAAATGAACCTTTATTTAATCTATATAGTGACAATAGTCTAGTGGGTTAAACTGCTGGTTCGTGAATTTGGTGGTATAGTGGTAGTGAGTTCAATCCCTGTGCCAGACAGAGTGTATTTGCACTCAGAGAAAACAGGTGAGCAATAAGTAAACAGTACTAAAATAAGAAAGAGACCTGAGCAGTGGAACGAAAACTAAGTACCCCACCGTAGATTAAATGAAGGGTTCAGTTCAGTAGGTTGCCCAGATCGATATGCATCTGAAGAAGGCCGGAAGGCAAGAACTGTCGAAACGTTATCATAGCAACAACAAATATGAGGAGAACTGTT